ATTCCTTTTTAATTTAATTTAATTTATTTATTTATTTATTTTTTGGTTTTTGGTTTTTCTGCGGTACCGAGAACCGAACTCATGACCTTGCGCTTGCCAGGCAGGCGCTTTTGCCACTGAGCTAAATCCCCAGCCCCTATTCCTTTTTAATTTTAAAGAGAGTAGTAAATGAGAAGCAAACAAACAAAAAAATAGAACAGTAGCATCATAGCAGTATCACGAACATAAACAAATCAGAGCAAGAACATTCAAAGTGATACAGGGTCTAAAGACAAAATAATACTAATCAACAGTGGTTGATACATTGCATATCGCTCTCCTCAACTACATTGCTCAGGTTACCAGATGTAAGAATGAAAGACTGCTCAAACCATTAAAGAGAGTAGGAAAATAATTCTTCTATAAAACATTAGAGATAATATAGAGTATCACTAGGCAAGATGGTAGGAGTTCACCATTGTAACTCCATTGCATGTTGTTAACTTCAAATCAGTTGCTCAGACCACCAGACACAAGCATGCAAAATCAATCAGAACATAAAAAATTGTGAGCATTAACTGTTCATTTCAATACACTATCAGACATCAGCAACAGTTATTGCAGCTATTCATATATATATTTATATTTTGCCTTCTTTCTTCTTCTTTCCCTCATCCCAGTTGTTCTTTCCTTTGTGCAATTTCTTTCCCTTTCCTATCACCCATTGTATATTTTGAGTTTTACCTAGTCTTTCATGTTCCTACACCAAGGAGACAATATGATGTTTACACATATTGTGGGTCCGATTTATTTCACTTATGAGTATGGTCTCTAGTTGCATCGATTGACCTACAAAAGCCTCGAGTTTACCTTTTTTATAGCTGAGTAATACTCCATTGTATAAAAATACCACATATTTTATCTATTCCTCAGTTTATGGGCATCTGGGTTGTTTCCAAGATTTAGCTATAACAAATTGTGCTGCTATAAATATGGGTGTACATATATCACTGTGGTATGATGTCTTTAATTCTTCTGGGGAAATTCCCAAAAGGAGAATACCTGGGTTAAATGGGACTTCTAATCCTAGTTTTGTGAGGAATCTGCAAACTGATTTCCACAGTGGTTTCACCA